AAAAAAAAAAACAAAAAAAAAATATATATATATATATATAGATTTTATAAGAGTCAAGGTCTCAACTCCCAAGTAAGTGTGAAAAGGCAAAGAACAACACTACGTGTGAATGGAAAAACGAATACTGCACACCTCTTTGATGAGATGTATGCTTTTATTTTATTTCACGTTTTTTGTATTGTCTTCATCGTTAACACTTAAAGATTCTTCCAGAACAAGACATTTCATCACACTTCATTGCATATCATATTGATAAATTATAATAAAAAAAAAAAAAACATTTCATCCAATTTATATTGAAATTTTTACATATATTGTTGACTTCTCACTCTCGATTGAATCCAATGCCATGTGCTACTTGCTTTTTGAATCTATATTATGAAATGATGTGATTGAGAAAACATCAAGTTGGTGAGGGTTAGGCTAGAAATTGAAGATCATAAGATATAATTTTCGACTATACTAAGTGAGATTGGATAAGAAGACTTTTGTGGTTACTCACTCAATCTTCTAAGTTTGAATCTTGCAAGCAAGTCTTGTCCTACATATTGATTATGGTTTGCAGAGAATTATGCTATAACCATGAGTTCTACTAACTCATAATAGAATGTAAACAAAAAATAAAAAAAAAAGTTGCTGCTAAGGAGGCTAACTCTAGATCTTATAACCTTGATTAGAGATCCCATTTGACATTTAAGTATTTCAATTCCTTAGTTTGAATCTTGACAATTTCTTAACGTTAGGTTATCAGAGAATTATCTCTCATGAATATCTTAATCTAGAAATAGATGGTCTGCCTTTGAGTGGATTTAAAAGAGGATTAATCGATGTGCACATAAGTTATTCCAAACGACCCTGACCGTTGAACTAAAAAAAAGTTTAAGTATTTCAATTAAAAATGGGATGAACATTTGGCTTTGTTGTTGAAGTGTTCGTTAACAAATTAGGCAAAGAGTGCAATGGTATTGTAATGGCACAAGGCTTAGTGGCCCATTGCTTGGCTGGATATCCAATTTGACCCAAAACATATCCCGCCCTGCCCAAGCACGAGTAGTGCCAAGTAGCTCGTTGCTTGGCCCGATATCAAATTGGACTCAAAAATGTCCTGCCCTGCTAAAGCACGAGTAATTATGCCCAAGGCCCACCTCCAGCCCGAAACCATGCACGGATTTTTCAATTCTTTTAATTACAAGTTGTAAGTTGTTATTCATAAATCGTATAAATAATTTAAAAATTAACCAAAAAATTAAGTAATAATTTATAATATGTAACCTTTTAAGCTATAAATTGTTGTGTTTGAGTTAAATGTTAAAATTGTTAAGGAATAATTTACTATTTTTTTAATTAAAAAATTCGACCCCAATAGACTATTCGATGTTCTAAGGAGATGTAACTTGTCTTTATTTGAGGTTTTGGTAATCGATGAGAACACTATAATACTAGGTTACTCTTGACGATTTTTGATGAACTTAACAATTATATTAAAGATGTGTGCCCTGACATTAATTTTCAAATCTAGAAAGGATCGATGGTCTTGTTAAAAAAAATGGTCAATACTTTAAAAAACGTAATATACCTATTGATCTATTTGNTACTTTAAAAAACGTAATATATCTATTGATCTATTTACTCATGATTTTCTCATTAATTTTACCACATCTACCATTGTAGAAAGAGCATTTTGAGTTATAACGATTGTGAAAACTAGGTTGATAAATAGATTGTTATTAATATGATTGACAATGAAGTAATCATGCAACATTTTTCAAATGTAAAAATAGTCGAAATTAATTGTAAATGATTGTAATGAACTTCAATTTTTATAAATGATTATAAATGGTTTTTTTTTAGTGTTTTTTTGCTTGTAGAAAATATGTATAATGGTTCTTGATCCTTTTATGTTTAGTGAATTAGTAAATATCAAATATAATGAAAATAATAAATGTATCATCTTAATTTTATCCTTTAAAAGAAAAAAAAAAGTAATTGTCCAACTTAGAAAGATTTTCTTGCTCTACCCCTTCCTATAAATATTACTTATCAGGCAAGCTATTAGAGATGGAGCAGCATCTGAACCATTGGAATTCTAGGACTCAGCTCAAAATTAAGAAGCTCATGCAGAATAGGAATTTCCCTATTAGTCACCTTGTTTGATTTGTTGAGATCCTAAAGGAGTAATGGAGGGAGCTCCAACTACTTATTTCTCACTATCTGCATTGTAATCTACCAATGTCTCGTTCAATTGTATAATTCACTCGAGTTCATAGTGTTGGTGATTTAACATTAAGAAAAATTAATGAAGGTCGGCAGAAGATCTGGATCGCTTCTCTTGTACATTAGGAACTCATAAGCTCCTTTCATGGCCACTTTGGAAGGCATTTGAAATAATAGTAGGCAAAATTCAATTCAAAGGCGTTTGATATGATTATCAAATT